TTACTTTTTTGATTGCATTCACAGATTTTTGTAAAACTGAGGTTATCCAAATGGAAATGGAAAGATGTCCCCAAAAGTAGGGAAATTTCAGGTTTTACAACACTTTGGGGACAATTTGGTCCTCAAATGTGATCTATGCAAACCCCCCCCCCCACACACACACACACACAGAGCTTCAGTCCTCCATGTGAACCTTTACCTCACTCAGTATCTCAGAAATCTGCTTAGCGAACTGTATCTCTGACGTTTCTGGGAGCTGAGAGAACAGACAGCTAGAGAAGTCCTGTTTCCCATTCTGTTTGTACTTATTCTATAAGACAAAAACAGCCATAAACACACCTCAGTGGACACAGGAAGCCCTGAACTATAATGGAGATTTAGAGTAATAAAAAATCACATTAATGCATCAATATGTCGCAAAGTGACTTGAAGCAGTGAGGATGAGAATTTAAAAGCTACAGTGGGAGGAACAGTCACACAATGCCAATCACTGCCTATCTTACTACCTCACTCTGCAGTTCTGATATCGCTTTGGCAAACTGAATCTCTGTCGTCTCGGGGAGGTGAGAATACAAGCATGTAGAGATGTCCTTTCGCCCATCCGCTTTGTACTTTGTCTGAAAAGGGTTGAAAACCATCAGGGCTACATTCAATCACCTTTTTGCCAGTTTTGTCATCTGAAAAGCAACTGAAGGGAACTCCACACCTCGCTCTGGATCTGAGAGGCCTCCTTAGCGTGCTGCGTCTCCATCGTCTCCGGCAGCAGGGAGTACAGTGAGCGGGAGGTCTGCTTCTTTCCCTCCTCCCTGTACTTAACCTAAAATATCAGGTGTGTTTGGATCTGTTTGGTATTTATCGCACTCAATCAGATAAAATCAGTAAGAAGGAATCAGAAATTCATTAAAACCAGGGATACTTTTTAAAGCAGCTATGTAAAGTACTGCCTTAGAGAAAACCTGAATGATTTAGGAAAAGCTATTTTTGGACGAGTTCTTATTTTATCAAAGTTCAGTCAGTGGTTTTCTAAATAAAAAAAATACCTCGGCAGGTTAATAAATTATGAATCGCTAAAGGGAACTGTGATGTTTTTCCATTCAGAAAGGCTGCAATTACCCTGCACGATTAAAACTGCGCCAAAAAGGGGCAGGTTAAAATAATAAGTTGTATTTCAGAAAGACAAAGTCTGAAAAATATAGAAAACTCACAGTAAGGATCACACATACCTGACTCTGTAATTTGGACACTGCTCTGGCGAACAGGACCTCTGTGGTGACAGGAAGCTGGGAGTAAATGCTCGAGGACATGTCCCTTTTCCCACATTCTCTGTATCTTTTCTGGGGAACATAAGGTGAGCAGTTATTGCGTCATCGCTGTGGGAATGCTATGGGCCCAATGTTATTTAACGATGTAGACACTAACTATTAAATAAACAAGTTCCTTATGTAGGAGATGCTGAAGCTGCATGTTCTGCCAACCAGTAAGCGAGCTATGATCTTCTGATTCAAATCAATAGCTATATATTTAGTTTTTGAAAAATCTGAGGGGCCCTGAAGTGACTTTTTGATACAAGATACAAGAGACACAAGATACTTTATTCATCACATACATGGTTATACAAGTACAGCATGTAGTGAAATGTACCCTGAACGACCCTTAGACTGTGACTTTATTGTAAAAGTCTTACAATAAACTAAAAAGTTACAATAACTAAAAAAGTATAGATAATATAGTGAGTGGGGTTCCAAAAACAAAAAGCCCACCCCTGTCTGCAAATGGCAGTTTTAAGGAGTGATGAGGAAGGGTCCTGGTGAAGGCATACCTGGCTCTGAATGACAGACTGCTCAGCGCCTAGCCGGGTCTCCGCGGTCTGCTGGAGCTGAGAGTACAGGCTGTGAGGGAGGGCTTGCTTCCCGCTCTCCTTGTACATGTTCTGGGAATGGAGAGGATGGTTACAGAATGAGCCATGGGCCAGCGTGATGCTTCCGGACCACATGCGTCTGGCGTTTCAGCGTCGCGTTCGGAGAGCGTGACAGGTCACCTCACTCTGGAGCTGGTAGGCCTCCTTGGCGTGCTGGGTCTCCATGGTCTCTGCTAGCTGCGAGTACAGCGACGTGGACGCCTGCTTCTTCCCAGCCTCTTTGTACCGCATCTGAAAAGCCACGCTCCTAAATCAGAAGGCTTCCAGATGCATAAGACATGACCACCAGACATGTAGCCACATAGTAAAATTAGGGTTTGAACCCACCGTGAAATTTCCCCGACGCTCATTGAAATTAATTTCTGGCTATGGGTCTGATGACCACAAACCATCATAAATTTCCAAGAAATAAACATACAGCTGCACAACAATTGAAATATGAAATATAAACCCTTCAAAAATACCAGCAATCAGTAGCTTAAGCAGGGGGCGGAGCCACAGGGTCACTGGCCCCAGCTGAAAGCTGATTGGCTCCCAGACTGCCTCATCCCCTGTTACTCGCTGATTCAAAACACATTATGAATTATGGCTCCTTTTACGCCCCTCACCTATAAAAATCATAGAATTGTCCCTGACAACATTTTATTTAATATAGTTTTATTATCATAAGAACATAAGAAGTTTACAAACAAGAGGAGGTCATTCATAAGAACATAAGAACATAAGAAATTTACAAACGAGAGGAGGCCATTCGGCCCATC